CATAGGCTCATCCTCTCTATAAAAGTCACTAATAACCCCCGGTGTAATCAGATGATGAAGCTCTGCCATAAGGCAACACCTGTGCAATTAGAACCGCAGACTCTTTTGCACGTTCCATTAATTTCTGGATTTTGTAGAGGCGCAATGACGATACTAATAATCTAGTCCACTTGACTCAGAGTCTACTGGAAACACAGTGTCTAATTAGATAAAGGTAATTAATTAGAGATAAATGGAGCTAATCAGGCTCAGTTAACACTAATTCTCTGAATTAAGACATTTTGGGGCACCCACTATCCCGCTGGCTTTGATATTCCACAGAAAGAGTAAGTTCTAGAGGAATCAGAAAAAAACCTGGCCTTTGAGAATCAGGCAGTCTTTTGATGGCATATTTAGGCACCTGAGAGTAAAGGAGTTTTCTTTCATATTGTGCTTAAAAAAAAAAAAAAAACCACTGTTCTCTTGTGCTTAAAGAATTCACTTTGTAGTTCTTCCAATCTGTGCTAGTCTCCACATAAATTTTAATAACCTTTGCTATCATTTTTATTATCTGTCTAGCCCACCAATAGAAGGAAACTGCTAGTTTTTCTAGTCTTTAAATAAGACTTAACTTGTTACATTAAGGAAATGTCAAGACTCATCAGCCTGTACCCCAAAATTCTGGTTTACTTTTTAGTTTTTTGAGACAGAGTTTCAAACTCAGATTTTTTTCCAACTGTGTGACCCTGTCTGTCCTGACGCTCCCTCTGCGGACCAGGCTGTCGTGAACCCAGCAGAGCCAGCACAGCCTGCCTCTGCCTCCCAAGCTGGGATCAAAGGTGCTCCCCCTGCCCCCCGCCACGCACACAGACTCAAATTCTGATCCTCTCAATAGAACAAACATGTAACATTTTGATCCCCTGATTCGGATTCTTTAAAGAGGATAAACCTGTTTTCCCTTTGTTGTACTAAATATTCTTCTACTGGAAAAAAAAAAAAAAAAGAGGCTTTGAAGTAGGAGACATGGTTCAAATTTTGTCTCTTACTGAGAGGGCAGCTTGGGAAGTTGCTTAACCTTCCATTTCCCTTGATCAGAATGGAAATTAGGGCCCCGTGCAGGTGCTCAGTGGTTACACTGGCTGCTCTTCTACAGGTCCTGAGTTCAATTCCCAGCAGCCACATGGTGGCTCCCAACCATCTGTAAGGGATGTGATGCCCTCTTCTGAGCTGCAGGTGTACAGGAGGACAGCACTCATGCACAGGAAAAACATTAATGATGAGCGGAAAAAACCCTGATTTACGGGGTAGTGACCTCAAGAGGAGGGTAGTCTGTGTATGCTGAGGAGGGCACTAGAGTTTGTCTGTTACTGGTCTGGTGTTGAACAGTGACTTAGTGTCACATCAGATGGACTACAGAATGATCAAAAATGTCTCATTCCTCTCAGTTTCACAGTAATCTCTGTACTGCATTCAAAGACATTTAATGGAAGATCAAGAATTTACTCCTTAGCTAGGTGCAGTGGTGCATGCCTGTAATCCTAACACTTAGGGAGGCAGAGGTAGTTGCATCTCTGAATTCAGGACCGCCTGGTCTACAAAGTGAGTCCAGGATGTCCAGGGCTTCACAGAGAAACCCTGTCTCAAAAAAAAAAAAAAAGTATCTACTCCTAAATAATCAGAAAAAAAAAAGTCTCAAATTTTCTATTGCAGAATGTAGGTCCCAGGAATTGAACCCGGGTCATCAAGCTTGTTGGCAAGTGCCTCCCTCACTGCACCACCTCACCAACCTTCTGCTTTGGTCTTCTACACGGAAATAACTATTCTTCTTGGCAAGTTGCCATTGGTACACCAGGACTGTGCAGATTTGCTCCGAAATACATTCTAAAATGTACCCTCATCTGAAATAGACATTAGGTCTTTTTCCGGCACTGCCTCTATCTTGTTTCCCGTCGACTCCACAGTGACAGAGGAGACACACCAAATAATGCGTGTAACAGTGTGAGGCACAGATCAGTCCCTGAAAAGCCAAGTCTGTAGGACTTTGTAGTACCTCAGTGCCCCTTGCTGGCTTTACAGTGGAATGAGCCCTGGGCTGAGTCTTTGTATTTGGAGACAAAACCTGTCTTCGTGAGAGACCGGCTCTGTGTCTCCAAGGCTTTCTGTCTGGCTTGTGTAGCATTAAACGTTTGTAACCTGCTATGAAGGAATGGCAGGAAATGACTGTCAGTCTTTCCCAGCCAATCTCCTGGAAGCTGCTTAGAACAAGAAGGCCAAGGAAGGGTTTTCTTTGCCCCATTGACGGATAGAGAACCAGTCCCTGCCTGCTGAGCCCAGGACTTAGACCACACATCTGCTAGCCCTCAGCTCTCCTGGGTCATTGACTGACACAGAGACTTGAGTGGAGTCTCTAAGCAAATGGCCAGCGCAGGTTTTCCATGGAGCATCCGTACCGACAAATTGAAAATCATGTGGATTACGCACCCAGCCAGGTTGGCTAATCGCAGTCACTGACAACGTGCCCACTCTTTCTTTCCTTCTTTGCGTTAGACCCATACCATGCAGTGGCTTCCCCACCCCAAAGCTGAACTTGGCCGGAGGAGCCAGTTTAATCGATAAGACAGAAGCAAAGATATTTTGGGCAAAGACTTGAACAAAATAAATCCTTTGGTACCTGGGCTTTACTCATTTGCTCTTGAAACCTTGGACAGGGTGTTGAATGAGCCCAGGCCAGCCATGGGGATTCTGTTATTTAGCTTGTTGTCTTCCTTCCCCAATCAATGGTCTGTCAACCCTAAGAGCAGAGCACCTGGATTGCCAGCAGCTGACTATGGAACCACCTCTGGGCCTGACTTGGGCTGCGTTAAATCCTGGGCTAAGCCTACACATTTGGAGAAAAGATGAGCTTAATGAGAATTTGCTATAGCATCTGAGACCTTCAAGGGATGACGTATAGGATGAACAGGACTGAACGAAATAGCTATTCAATTAAACCACAAGTTTCAAGGTCCTTTGGAAAAGGACAGTAGGTAACTGATAGAGCAGACAATTTCCTGGTTTAATATCTGTGGAAACCCAGATGGCTGCCAGCATTGTAGACACACAAGCAGGAGAAGGATGGTGTCTTCAGGAGAAATAGGAAAACAGAGAAGGCCTCTGAACCGTGAGAAACAGGAAAGGGGGCTCAAGAGTCCAGTCTTTTGGGTAACAGATCACGCTGGAGTCAGGACTTGTAGAGAAAAGCTAGGCCGGGGCTGAGGACCGTTTGTGGAGAGCAGCTGAGGTGTGGGCCAGGATGAGGATGTGCAAAGGGAGCAGGAACACAGAGTGGGAATACAGCCGGAGAGGACTTAGCCAGCTCCTTCCAGGAGTAAGCTGGGGGAGGGCCGCTGGTGGTTTCAGGGCCATTCCCAGTCACTGAAGGCCATTCACAGTAACCCAGTAGACTAGACATGGGCAGGACCATAGCTTTGCCCATTTTGTCACAAAATGGACAGACCCATTAAGGGATGAGACAGAAAAGGGACGATGTTTTCACCTGGTCAGAACCCTGGGTTGGTGATGGAACCCGGCAGTGGGGAGCTAATGGCCCTCAAGAGAGCAGCAGCAGCAGCAGCAGCAGCAGGACTGGGGTGAAGAAGCATCGAGGAAGCTGGGTCAGAGCAGCACTCTGGAGACGGGGCAAAGGCAGACGGGAACACCCGGGCTGACCTCAAGGGGCTCGTTGGTGCCAGGGCTGAAAGAAGGATATTGGTGCCTGAAGCAAGTTCGGGTGTGTTTTATCTAGTGGGACCTGAAAGGGAGTGAGGACAGAGAAGTCACAGCAGTCCCTCCTGTGTCTTGAATCCAGTGAGGGGCAGCAGAAAGCTTCTCAGGTGGTGGGCGCTCATGCTCACAGTCCTGAGGGTCTACAGTAGAGACTCAAGGCTCCTGGGACAGGAACCTAGTAACAGAGTCAATCAGCTCCCTTATGAGCAAGTTTTGTTACACAAGAATGAAAACAGATGGGTAGGAACGTGCCTCTGGGTTCAAATATTGTAACGAGCATGCTTGCATATTCAACTGCTTAGGCGGGCGAGGTTCTGTGGGTTTTCTTACGTCTTCTTCACTTTAATCCTCGCCACCGTAATCACCCAGAAATTGCCTCGGCGCAGTTCTCAGCGCACCCTGTTCACTAGTGTTCAAAACAGAACGGGCTGACTGAATGATGAGCTCCCAACTCACTATGTCCCCAGCTCTGGCCGCCTGTAGGCCCGTTCATCCTGAGCCCAGCATCCTAATGAGCTAGCCAAGGCTCTGTCTAACCTAGCTAAAGCCCTTCTTTCTGACAGGATCAAGTGCAAACGACTTAGCCTAGAACACCCAGGCCTGCTGTGATTTAACTTCAGCACTCTCACAAAGCCTCCCCAGACATGCCCCAGCCGTGGCCAGCCTACTCCAGCTGTGCCACACTTGAGATGTTTGCATCTGTACCTTGCCCAACCTGTTTCTTCCTGTAACACTGCTCCGTTGCATCCTACCCTAGTAACATCTCTACTCCAGGGAAGTCTGGGTGATGTTTCCATGAGCTGAGTCAAGGTGCGCGCCTCCCCTGAGTATTCTGGATTTATCCTTATTAGAGGACCTGGCAAATATGAAGAGCATTCATTTATGGGCACACCTAGATGACAGTACGCACAGAAAGCAGAGTTTCCTTTCTACACCTCTTTCTTCAGCGCGCCCCACACCGGCCATCTGGTGTGCTCTTCATGTTTAAGTGAGGATTTGGTCTAAGGCTGCTCCAGGAAAATCCCCCTCCTCTCTTTCCCCACAAACTGTCCTGGGTAGAGTATCACCTCAGTTACTGTCTTGGTAAAGTAAGGCGTAATTATGGTCATCATGTGGCCCCACAGGGAACTAGGAAAGGGACACTTGATTTCACTCTATGTCCTTGGAAATGCCCTCGTCCTAGTCTCAGTGTCCGGGAGGAAGGTGCAGGGGCCCCCACACTCACACCGGCCCCTCCCCTGTTTTTCTCAGGAAAATGCTCTGATATTTATTTGCACCTGGCCTTGGTGGATCACTGGAACCTTGCCCAGTGCCAGTGAAATATACCATGACATCTTCTGGCAGGCTTCGCTTCTATTTGCTGAAGATGTTTTCACATGAACATCCTTCTGGTGTAAGTTCAGGCTGTTATCAGCTCTATTTTTTTTTTTTTTTAATGAGTTTATAGCTACTACCGTTTCCTTAATCTACCCAGAGAAGTGTCCACAGAGTTGAACGTTTACCTTCAAAGACAATATCATGTTCTCCGTTCCATTCTGGGGTCCCAGAGGCGCCTGCAGGCGGGACGTCCATGCCACATGAGGAACGAGCTCTTGCTCCATTTTACTTGTGGACACAGAACGTTGAATCTTCAACTGAGAACGAGGTGAGATGGATCGCACCAGGGCAGATAAATGGCAGTCACTGTCTTCAGCCTTAAAAGATAACATTCTGAATTCTCCTCCACAGGCAGATTAATCCTTCCCCCGAAAGGAAAATTATTGAAGGCAGCAGAGTTCTGCCTGAGTAAGCCACATGCCCAGAGCCCCATCGGTGTTTCCTGGATGTCTCTGTGGAAGCAGCTCTTCCGTCTGCCCAAGAGGAGCGTGTGTCAGTGAGCGGTGTGTGCTCGCCATTGGTGTGGACTGACATTATCAACCGCAGAACTGTAAAGGCCAGAGGGTACGCCAGGCACAGTAAAGGCTCCAAATACAGGGCCTAGGCTCAGCAAACATTTGGCTTGAGTTTTTCATGGATTTTATCGTACACTGTCAATTACTATAGAGTATTTGTGGCTCAGTTGTATATTCTTATCACAAAAATGTGGCTACTGCTCTTTTGGCTATTTAACAGGCCTCAGACATCTGGCAGAAACTGTTTATTTAAATATTTCTTCACAAGACAAACATGCTTCCTCACACACTGAAAGAATTCCATGAGTGTTTTTATAAGTCAGCCTGAGTAAGAAAAGCATTGTTCTGAGAGAAATTTAACTGCATTGTGGTTACCAAATATTTAATATTTTAAAGAGGAAGTTCTAAAATTTAATAGATGATTTTATTATTACTCTTTGAATGTAATTAACTAGGGATGCACTTTAAACTGCTCTATTCTGGTTACTGAAATAGGTTTTATGGTTTACACTGGGGGAAAAACCCTCTGTCAGACTGTGGGCCTCTCCCTTGGCGCACATTATTATGGTCTCTTTAGAGACCAGCACGCCATTTTGCTGTCAGTGGTCTTGTTCTAGTAGAGCAGGTTTATATATGCAATCCTCTTGGGAAATAGTGTCAGAAAAAGGATCCCCAGTTAGCAGCTGACATAGTTCCTCCTCACAGTCAGAAGAGCGCCTCAAGCAGCAAATGAACACATATTTCATTTTTTATGTGCTGATAAAATGTTATATCATTAAGTCAAAAGAACATATTTGTCTCATGTAGGTTGACTTTAGGAGATAGCTCTTGCTTTCAGTATAAACGAGGGCTTGTGGCTCAAGAGAAAATGCTCTGCAGAAGCCAGCTGGCTAGAGCCTGAGAGAAAGCGGCCTGTAAGCATCAAATGCCAGTTTCTCCAGGGCTGTCGGCACACTCATGGTCCGTTCTCAGATACTTTAAGTACCGAGAGGGCTACAGAGGAAGCCAAACTGTGTGAAGTTTAGTTTATACTTGTATATATTTTCAAACACTCAATTGCTTTATCAGATCACAGAATCCATCCACTCATTTATCAGCAAATAAATGTTTAGCAGCAACAAATATTTGGTAGGCGCTATTCTAGGCTCATGCAAAAGGGTATAAAATACAAGTGCTTGTTCCGTAGGAGAGCTTGTCTGGTGAGGATGTCAGACAGACAGGAAGATCTGATCACAGAGAGCACGTCCTCCACATGAATGCGCTTGGCTGTTCTATTACTAGGTGCCGTGCCCATCAGCGTGAGCCCAGAAGTGCTAGTCAGCAGCTGGATGGCACCTGGTACACAGCAAAAACTTTTTGGATAAATTAATTAGTGGTGAAACTGATGCTATTAAAAATGAGTGTAATGACTGTCCTGGCTAGTTTTTATGTCGGCTCGATACAAACTAGAATCGTCTGAGAGGAGAGGGTGCAGCAATGGGCTAGGGCCTCTCATGGCAATTACTAAGGAAATGTCCCCAAAGTCCTGGGTTCTATAAGACAGCAGGCTGAACAAGCCGTAGGAGCAAGCCAGGAAGTAGCGCCCTCCACAGCTTCTTCATCAGCTCCTGCCTCCAGGTTCCTTACCCATTTGAGTTCCTAAATTGTCTTCCCTCCATGGACTGTGGTTCAGGATGTGCAAGCCAAATAAACCCTTGCCTCCCCAAGCCGATTTTTGTCATGGTGTTTCATCACAGCAATAGTGACCTAACTGAGTTTCATCACAGCAATAGTGACCTAACTAAGGCAGTGCTAAGCCACATTGCATTGTCACTTGTGACAGCAAAAATGAGAGCAGTTTGAAAACAGGAGGTTATGTTTTAATCTTGAGAGAGGGGTTTTTAAAAATTACTGTTGATGGCAGAATAACTTAAAAGGGTCTGAACTTAGTATGTGGAGCATTGGTTCAGAGTGAGGAGTGGTATAGGAAGAAAAAAGAATGATATTTCGTGGTGGACTGCATCACAGGCAATTGGGTCTATAAAGAGCGAGAATAAAAACTTCACCGCTGCTTTAACGGGACTTGCATCAAGAATGAGCAAGCTCGGTCCGTAAACCAGCGGTCTTGATAGTTTTTCTTCTGTGTGTGGTGTCATGTCTGCACGTCTGTATGTGTATGTGCCCTAGATCTGGCCTTGTTGCTTGCAGGAGACAAGAGAGGGCGTTGGACCCCTGGAACCAGAATTACAGATGGTTGTGATGCCAGAGGGTTCTGGGAACGAAGCCTGGTCCTCTGGAAGAGCGGCTGGCGCTCTCAACTGTTGCGCCATGTCTCCCTCTCCTCCTCTTCCTCTCCTCCTCCTCTTCATCCTTTTCTCCTCTTGTTATTTCTCCTCCTCTCCCCCTCTTCCTCTTCTCCTCCTGTCCTCTTCCTCCTCCTCTTCTTCCTCCTCCTCTTATCCTTCTCCTCTCTCTCCTCCTCTCTTCCTCTTCATCCTCTTCTTCTGCTCTTCTTCCTCTCCTTCTCCTCTTCCTTTTCTTCTCCTTTTCTTCCTCATTTCCTCCTCCTCTCCTCCTTTTCATCCTCCTCTCCCTCCTCCTCTTTTTATTACTGTGTTCAATTCTCTTTATCACAAGCATTTTACATACAACTATTTAAAGTGCTGGTTGAATTTGGACCATACCTTAGGTTTG